CAAGGACAGCTGAGGAGTTCAAACATGTTGGCCCTTGGGGGAACCCCAGGGCCAAGCCCCCGGGGAACAAGAGGAGTCAGGCCCAGGAATGGGTAGGCAGCTTGGTGTGCCCTGGAAAGAAAACCAGTAGGATTTGGCAGAGAAGCACTGCTTAACACCACGATGACTGTGCCCACATGACCACACAAAACATGCCCTGTGCCTACTGGGGAGTCATGGCTGGCTGGCATCACATTTTACACAGTATAGGCCTAGCTGACTATCCCTGATATCTGCATCCTGCTTATTCCACCTGGGAAGTGATGAGAAGAGACAACACAAGCTTCAGAAAGTCACACAGGTCCATAGGCATCCAGGGGAGTGACACCCACTGGGACCACTCTCTCTATCTCTCCCTATGATTCGTGGGCTCCTTCCATGCATGTGGGGCACATGTCCAAACATGGATGTATCCAGGCATGGGTTTGGGTTGATGCACCAATCCCGGGCAAAAGTGCTGTGCATAGAATCTATTCCTATCCTCACACACCACATATCAGCTCCCGAACCCAATACCCAAGGCCCAATGTGGACCATGTCTACCTTGTCCTCCCATGGGATGTTCCCCAGACCAGAGCCCCTCTACCCAAAAGCAACTCCCCTCCAAGGAAGTACCTAGCAACTTGCATAACCAAACAGGAAACATTTAAATAGCTTCGGGGCAGAAAACCAGTCAGCTCTTTCCCCCAGTCTGAAATTTCTCATGCCACCATTTTAAGAGCCTTTCTCATGGCACTGAACTCCCCAATTTCCACTTCCCCACTGCCTTCCAGTGGAAAATCCCTACTTTAAGGGAACTGGATAGGGACTGGCAACACAAACTAAACAATTGTCTCATCAAAACACTTTCAAGGGGCGCCTGGGTGGCGCAGTCGGTTAAGCGTCCGACTTCAGCCAGGTCACGATCTCGCGGTCCGTGAGTTCGAGCCCCGCGTCGGGCTCTGGGCTGATGGCTCAGAGCCTGGAGCCTGCTTCCGATTCTGTGTCTCCCTCTCTCTCTGCCCCTCCCCCGTTCATGCTCTGTCTCTCTCTGTCCCAAAAATAAAATAAAAAACGTTGAAAAAAAATTTAAAAAAAAAAACACTTTCAAGTCCATGTCAATGGTAGGCATGTGGGGGGAGAGGGGAAGAGTGGAGGAAAAGACATATGTCCACAGAATCAACACACTACTCAAACCACCACTGGGAACCATGAAGATGATCACATCCTGGTGCGTATACCCACTGTGAAACACTGTACACCCCAAGATAACAGGCAGCCTGCATTATTTTCACTGAACACACACTAGAGATCCATGTCTATTACAGGCATCCAGCCATGGAATGCCTGGGACAGAGGCAATTCACACAACATTCCCAATAGAGGAGCAATATAGGTATTTCTTACCCAGATGTGTCTAGCAGTCTCCATATATGCCAAAGTCTAATTGAATCACCACCAACAATAGCCCTGTAATATAAATCCCATATCCCTGTAACCATCAAGATGGCTAACTCCTTCAGGAACCTCTTTCAGAAAATGTGCAGGCTTCCAAAATACCCTCTGTGAGAAAAAAAACAAAACAAAACACTACACTTGCCCAACCAAAAGCCAGTGTAAAACTCGACTGAACCCAGGGCTCATTCCACACAGGGAACTGACATGGCCACAGGAAGCAGGTTTGGGAGCCCCAACCTGGAAGGAAACATGCAAAACCTTAGCTTCTTGGTCCACAGGAGGCTGCTCATGCCTACACCACAGGTCCCACTAGCACTCTCCTCAAAATTGACTCCTACATTGGGGGCAGGATCCTTCAGCTAAGACAGCCACCAACACTTTGGCCTTTGCAGGGATCCAGCCTGTGGCATGCGATGTGGGCTCTGTCCTGCCAATAAGTAACATCAGCATGGCCCACACAGAGCTCAAGGGCTGCAGCCCCACAGGCGAGGCACAATGATAGGAGAACTCATCTCCTTCACAAGGAAATGCGGACCTTCTCCAAGTTCCTGGTACGGCTGGGGCAGTGAACCTCTCGGGAGATCACTCAGGTAGGTACCGGTCCTGCTGGTAGGCTCCCAGGAGAGACGTCTCCACCCCACCCAACAAGATGTGACACACCTGTGTCTGAGTCCAACGGACTGTCCCAGAGTAACACTTGCACCTCACCAGATCCCTGCGTGAGGAGAAAAGATCTCCAAAGTAAAGTTTGACTGAGACACCTGGAGCAAAACCAGCCAGATATACGTTTTCAGCTAGCCCCAGTTTCAGGCATGAAGAACACCACCACTGACCACCATTCCATGGGAACACAGATGCCAGGAGCACACACAAGTCAGGCACCTCTGCTCCATACATATGCAACCTGAAGACCTGAGAAGGCACCTGAGAAGGCACCTGAGAAGGGTGGAGAAATCGCATTCACGTGTGAGAAACATACCCAGGTGCTCAGCTTGCCACACCGGGAAAAACGAATTTGTGACTACACCTTGTGTCTGCCTGTCCTGTCCCTCTGTCCCTTTGGGCTCCTTCAGATGGGCAAGATGCCACGTATATAGGGCACTATGTGAGCAGGTGCATGTGCCTGTCTGTGAGTTTGGGTGTGTGTGTGTTTGTGTCTGTGAGTGTACGGGTTGTGTCTGAGTCTGTTCAGTGGTGTGGTTGAGAGAGGGTGTTTTTGCTCATCTAGGGAGGTCTCCATGCATGCAAGAGCTTACTCGGTGTGCAAATCCATAACTTGATGTCCTGCCACAAAACAGCACAAGACATATTTCCTTGCAAATCAGAGTTCACCTTTGATCTCTAGGGGAGGCTGAAACTGGCCAGTGATTCCCTCTCTTTTTTTTTTTTTTTTTAAATTTTTTTTTTTTTCAACGTTTATTTATTTTTGGGACAGAGAGAGACACAGCATGAACGGGGGAGGGGCAGAGAGAGAGGGAGACACAGAAACGGAAACAGGCTCCAGGCTCTGAGCCATCAGCCCAGAGCCCGACGCGGGGCTCGAACTCACGGACTGCGAGATCGTGACCTGGCTGAAGTCGGCCGCTTAACCGACTGCGCCACCCAGGCGCCCCTGATTCCCTCTCTTAAAGCACTGTTGCCAAGCATAGCACACCAGTATCTACACCCCTCCTCTCCTGCCGCTGGTAACCATGACAACGTGGACTGTGGAGGCCAGCAAGCCATCACACTGGAAGCACACTTGAATGAACCTCAGCAGTCAGTGGAAAACCGAAACATCCCAAAGTAAGGCTGGCAAACCTCCGGTGCGGGCAACTAGGCAGAAGCCTAGGCATAGCCATGTGAGGCGGCCAAAGGATTATAGGCCAGGTGCCCATACTTATCCATTTTGACAAAACACCCTCTGCAGCAACGAAGCACATGCCTTCCCCACCAAATGTCTGTATACAACCCCAATGAAACCAGGGTGCAATCCCAGCCAGAGAACCGGCATGGCCAAGGCCAGTGGACTTCAGGGCCTAGAGCTGTGAAGAAACGAGAAATCTATTGGCTGCCTGGTCCAGGGCAGCCTGATCAAGCCTACATGGATAGTCTCTTCAGCACTTCCAAAAAACAGACCCACACATTGGGGGCACAATTCTTCAGTGAGAAAAACCACCAATGCATTGGTCTTTGAAAGGACCCAGGCTATGGCATAAGACGTGCGCCCTCTGCCTACGACCAGGAACAGTGGAATGGCCCTCACAAAGCTCAAGTGCTGCAGCCCTGCAGGTAAGAGGTACACTGTACCTGTTGGAAGATAACATGACTTCTTCACAGGTGGGGGGACCTCTCCGAAGATTCCAATCCAGCAGGGGCATTGCACCTAGCATCACAGAACATAAGCCCCCAGTGTGCTGGTAGGTTCCTGCAGAAAAGTGCCCACTCCACCTAAAAGTATGGGAGACACCGGTGCCCAAGTTCAACAGAAACCCCCAGAATAACAGTGTCATGTCAGCAGCATTATAACAAAGGGAGACATTGTCACAAAGGCAGGACTGACCAGAGATAGGTCTTCATCCAATGCCACACTTACACTCATGAAGAACACCACCAATGAATGCAGATCTTTAAGGCACAAAGGGAAAGGAGAGCACACAGCAGAAGGACTACAGTACAAAAATCAAGAACACTGAAGCCGGGACATTGAGCCACGGTTTGCCATCCACATCAAAAGCCAGATATCAATCAGGAAACCAGGAAGGAACTGGGAACAAAATGTGACACTAGGGAAGAGAAGGCAGATAGAATCACCCAGAATGTGGGACTCTGCTTTCACTATCATTAGTGTCCAGGCTAAGGGCAAAACAAAGACATGACGGGAACCGGAGGCACTAAGAAGTGTAGTCATACACACATTGTGGAGAAAACTGAAAGAGATTCCCAAGAAGAAACCAACAACAACAGGGTCTAAAGACAGGTCGCAACAACCGAGACGAAAGCTGCTCGAGGTATGAGATGGAGAAAAAGGGCTCGCCCAGGTTTCGCCGCTGGTTAAGACTGGGGTTGACAGGCAACTGACGGCATGCCAGCCTTGCCACGCTCGGCCCCTCAACACACACCGCCGCGCGCTTAGGCCCGCACAGCCGTCCGGGCCCTCGCAGGCCCCAGCCCTCGACTCCCAAGGGCCGGTGCCACAAGACACGCCGTTGAAGCCCTAGGCCTTGGGGGACCAGCTGCCCCACTCGACCCCAGTCGCCAGCCACCGCCCGCAGGCCCTGCCAGCCAGGTCCCTGCCCGCGGCTCCCAGGGCCCGTGCCACAGACACGCCTTTGACGTCCTAGGCCTTGGGCACCAGCTGCCCCCCCTCGACCTCAGAGGCCGCTCATTGCCCTCAGGCCCTGCGAGCCGTGGAAAGCCTGCTCCGGCGGGGAAACGGCTCCCTGACCCGGAGACACCCCGCGAGCCTCTCCCAGGCGCAGGCCGTGGGTGCTGGTGCTTGAAGCAGTGTGGCCAATGGGAAGCCTGCTGTCCCTGACGCTTACCTTCCCTGGGGCGGACAACGTGCTGGACCTCAGTTTCGATGAGAACGAC